GGCGCGGCCAACATGTATCGGGTATAGCCAGGACCCCAGGTAAGGGGACCCGGTTAGTAGTAGGGCCCCGGAGCCCCTAAATCGACCAGAATCACTAGACCAGGTCTGCCGAAGCTGGTGTTTTTCGAGTGACGGCAGTTCCGGTCAGTGGAACGGGGCGGGGGGGGTGGCGTCCCCCACTACACATCATTGAACCAGGTCCCACTAAACCCAGCTCTGCCAACTGGCCATCGCTCGGACGTCCATTCCCTGTGTTTTCTTCGGTTTCGTGCGTGGTTTTTTTGCCAAATGATCGAGGATGCTCCTCGATGGTCCTCGCCGAAGGAAAAATGCACATGTCCGAGCGATGCCAAGCCAACGCCCGAATGTCAGCAACGCCCGACCTGGACTCCCCGTGCCGCGCGACGGCGCTGGTCGGGGCCCTGCCGGAGTGCCGTCGGCGAGGCCCCTCCGCGGGCGGCGGGGTCCCGCGGAGGCCGAGGGCCCCGTGGCGCCGCGCTCCGGCGGTGGCCACGCTGCCGCCTCAGGCGCTTGGCCGTTCGTGGGGAGGGTCGGGGTTAGCCGCCTGGGGGGTTCTTACTTTTTTTTTTTTTTTTTTTTTTTTTTTTTTCTCTCTCTCTCTCTCTCTTTCTCTCTCTCTCTCTCTTTCTCTCTCTCTCTCTCTTTCCTTATTTACATATATACGTCTGTAGATATATTCTCTCCATGTGCTCTCTACTTCTCTCTGTCTCTGTCTCTCTCTCTCTCTCTCTCTCTCCCTTCTCTCCCTCTCTCTCTCTCTACCTCTCTCTCTCTCTCTTATTTTGCTTTTGTTGTTTCTTTCTCTATCTCCCTCTGTGTATATATATATACACATGGACAACCACATGTATGTATATATAGATATATGTATATATATACCATCTCTCTCTCTCTCCTTGGTTTCTCTCTGCATTTGTTTCCCCTCTATCTCTTCCTCTCCTTCCTTGTCTTGTCGTCTGTCGTGCATCCCCCTGTCGCACGCCGAGGGGGCCGCCAGCCCCTCCTTCTTCCCCCGCCCAGGCTGGAAAGGTCTGCCGTGCGCGGCGCCAGCAGCTGCGACGGCCGAGCGGATTCCTGCTCGGCATGGTTTCTCTCTCCCTTCAGTATCGTTTAACCAATCCCCATCCCCATCCCCTTCGAGACCCCCACCAAATTACGCCCCCCCGTTGGGGATACACCCCTCGAAACCCGAAGAGGGAGGCCTACATCCCCATCTAGGCGGGTAAGTCGACCAGTGGGGCCCAGGCCACGCCGCTGGGGACGGGCATCGGTTAAACGATACTCACTCTCTCTTTCTCTTTCGCTCTCTCTGTTTTTTTTTTTTTTGTTTCTCTCTCTCTCTCTCTCTCTCACCCCCCCCTTCCTCCCTCCCTCCCTTATCTCTTTGCCGCCTCCCTCTCGGCGCCGACGCTCCTTGTGGGGACACTCCGGACGTCCGCCCCCTGGGGCCTTGGAAGAGCAGTGAGGAGGACGCCTGCGTCGGAGCCGTGTCTCGTGGAGGGATGTCCGTCCACCCTCCGGGAGGGCCTCTCTGCTGGACATGTGCGGTGACGGGCTGAACGTCGCGAGTGGGATCTCAGGCAGGTGGGGGTGCACCAGCCCCAGGCTGGAGCCCCCCAATTCTCAGGGGGACGGAGGCCTCGCACGAACTGTGGGGGGCACATCTTGCATTGCCGGCATCCCTTGGATCCCTTTGGCGCATCTGCTCAGCACCGGCGCTGGCAGGTCCGTGGTCGGAGACCCTGGTCCTGCACAGTCCCGTTTAAATCCAGTGGCGCTGCCGCGCGATTGCGCCTCCGTGCTCGGGCGGGCGGGGGGGGGTCAGGAGGGGAAGAAACACACAGACACAAATAATCGTCGATTCCCCCGAAAATATTGGAAAATCTGGGAAGTGGGGGGGAAAACGAAAATCAAAAACATGTGGAAGAATATAGGGGCTCCTGTTATTTGTGCTTATCTTTTTGTGTGTCCCAGGGCCCCTTCGGGGGGGGCGGGGGCCCTTCTGGACGGGGGATGGGGGTGCAACGGTGGCATGCCGGTCAACGCGTGCTCACGTCAGGACTTATCCCTCCAGAGAGCCCCGGCAGGAACAAGAGGCAGGAAGCCAGATTAGAATTCTCCACGCTTCGCGTATCCCCACCAACCACCCGGACGCCGCTTTCGCTCCTTGACCGTTGCCTTGGAGCCGCCGACCAAAACAGTATCCCCACCAAGTCCGCCCTCCGGGCCCACCCCACCCCCGGATTGGTATTCGACGTTTTTCGGCGGAGCAGCACAGCTGGCGCGCACACGCCGTTGGCGCGGCTTGGGCTTGGCGCCCCACTGGCGACGGCCCATCGCTTACCACGTCTGGTCGCCACAGCGCGTAACACAGAATTCCCAGGCATTTTGCCGCGGGCTGCACGTTGCTCGAGCTTCCCTGGGCGTTCCAGTTCAGCCAGCCAGCCCCCCGCAGCCGCTGCCCCAGCTGCCGCGTTTGTGAGCTGGCCCGGCCGGCTCGTGCTGCGCTCAGTAGCTAATTAGGTTTGCCCGCCGGCCTGGACAATTTCTCTCGCCGCCTGCGCGCTCGCTGGTGGCCGCGACCAAAAGAAGTATCCCCACCAAGTGATCGTCCCCGTTGGCCTGCAGCCTTGCACGTTGGACTGTTTATGTAGCCCCGCGCTTCGGCACGCTTGTGGCGCGTCGACCTCTGGCGCCTGGTGCGACAAGGTTCAATTCATCCTTGCTGGTGGTCTCGCCTCTCGGATGCCCGCACGCTTGCCTGGCTCTCCTGGCAGCTCCTGGCAGCTCCTGCAGCCTCACCCTCGGCGCAGCTCAGCGTCCCTCGGCGGTAGTTCTGCAGCCGCCAGTGCGCGCGCTAGGTTAATTAGGTTTGCTCGTCCAGGGCCCCTCTGGGGGCACAAAACATGTGCACCTCTCTGCACCGTGCGGTGGCAACTCATTGGGGGCCTCCCATACGTCTTGTTGGCTGACGCTGCTCGACGTTAGCCGACGCTAGTCGACGGTTGCCGACTCGAAGTCGACGCTGACCCGGCACCATCTTCTTCATTACCAAACAACGACGAAATCGAGTCGGAATTCAAAATTCCCATGATTTGCTACCGAAATGCACTCAACGCCCGAACGCCCGACGACGGCTGACCGGAATGGCGGCGCACCACCGGGCCGATCCCCAACGCCCGACTGGAAAGGCGGGTTACCGAAGTGCTCTGTCACGCTCTCTCGGTCAGCGGGCGCAGGGACGGCCAGACGCCCATCGAGCGACGGGAAGGACTGTCGGGAAGCGAGCTGGGCACCCAAAGGCGGGCAGGTTGGAACAGGCCGAGCCGCGTCGAGATCGTGACGTCCTTCCAGCGAGTGCAAGGGCTGCGTGCGAGGCGGGGATTTATCCATATCCACCGCCTGGGAAACGACGTCCTGGTGCCCCTGCGGGCGGTGGATATGGATAAATTTTTGCCCCCGGGGGCCCGAATATATCCAGATCCACCGCCTGCGAGGTCCTCGAAAATTGATTCTCCAGGCGGTGGTCGTGAATAAATTCCCGCCCCGGGCTGCGCAGCCACCTGCGGCTTCCGCTGTCCTCCTCGCGCCTCTCCCGCGCGTGCCGTGCCCGCCTTTTGGCACCCCCGTGGTGTGCCCCTCGGCCGCCTCCGACCGCGGCGTGGGTCCGCGCCGCGGCGGCACCCTACCTACGGCCCCACGGGGCTTCGCGTAAACCAAGAGATCTGGCGTGGGGCTTGCGTGGTGTGCGCTGAGGCCCCCGATAGGCCGTAGCGCAACACGGCAGGTTCCGGAAACACTTGACTCAAAACATGTTCATCTCGTGGGGAGCGCATCTTTTGCTTCCGCCGCGTTCCGCCAGCCTTCCGCCGGCTTTCGCTGGCAGAGGCTTCCTGCTTTAACTTCCGCCGCCATCCGCTGGCCTTCCGCCGAGAGGCAAAGGTGATAACTCCTGCTATCCTCGAGGGCGAGGCCCTTTTCTGGGACGCTCCACCTGGAGGGCCGCAGGTGGGGTGGTGTTGTTCTTTGTTAGTCGGCCCTTCTCTTGGAGAGGTTTTTGAAGGGGCCCTGGGACACACAAATAAATACACACAAATAACAGGATTCCCCATATTTTCCCCATATTTTCTGGGCTTTCGTCTTCCCCCCACCACTTCCCATATTTCTTATATTTTCTGGGGAATCGTCGATGAATTGTGTCTGTTTTTTTTTTCTCCCTCTTGAGTTTTTCCCTCCCCCAGCATCCGCCAGCGGAGCCGGCCCCGTTCTGCCCCTGCAGGCCTTCCGACGCCCTCCGCGAGAAGCGGAGGAGGAGGAGCGGCAGGAGGAGGAGGAGGAGGAGGAGGAGGAGGAGGAGGAGGAGGAGGAGGAGGAGGAGGAGGAGGAGGAGGAGGAGGGGGGGGAGGAGGAGGGGGAGGAGGAAGGGAAGCGGGAGGAGTCCGTAAATCCTCGGCCCCTCGAGAAGCGGGGCCCTTCCTGGAGCACCCCGTGCGGGCACGCGAGGAGCAGCAGTTGGCACAAACGAAAGAGCTGCAGACTGGCTTCGGCGACGCGCACAGCTTGCCACCGCTCGGACGTCCATTCCCCGTGCATTTTTCGGTTTTGTGCGTGCCTTTTTTGGCTCGATGGTCAAGGGTGCTGCTCGATGGCCGTCGCCGAGAACAAATGCACACGCCCCAGCGATGCCAAGACAAGGGGGTATGGGGGTTGGGGAAGGCTTCTTCGAAGGACCCTGCTTCTTGGAAGGCGCTGGCCCTACATCTGTGGACAAGGCCGGCGCCTTCTACGAAGCAGGGGTGCTTCTCAGAAGCCTTCCCCCCTCCCCTGCCCCCCTCTCTGCGCGTGGCCGACCTTCCAGGAGCATTCCGTGAAAGCACACGAGGAGCAGCAGTCGGTAGACGAAAGAGCTGCAGACCTGCTGGCTCAAACCAAGCGAGCGGACTCGCGAGGCCGCGACCACGAGATCGACGGCAGCGGGCCTCGACGAGGGGCAGCAACATGAACTCGATCATCCCTATCTGGGAACTCGGCACGTTGACCTGGCATCACGGCCGATTTCGGACTATCCGCTGTTCCGTCCAACTTCTCATCCGGATCGCACCGGCAAGGCCTCCAATTCGATAACTCGTAAGTACTTCTCGGGGGGCATTGTTGATGAGCGTCTGCGTCGCCTCCAGCCGTCCATGGGCCGTCTTGAAGCCTCTTGAACGCCCGCTGGAAATGCGGTATTTGGGGCCTTCGGCGTCTGCTTCTGGAACCGTCTTGGGACCTGGGCCACGTTCCAGGGGCCTCTTGGGCTGTCTTGGAGACCTCTTGGGGCCGTGCTGGAGCCATTTTGGGCCCATCTTGGGGGTCCTCTTAGATCTCTTGGGCTGGGTTATGTTCCGTCGAGTGCCCTTTTAGGGCATCTTGAGCCGCTTTGGGGGCCCTTATGGCTTATGGGGCCCGCTTGAATTGTCTTCGGCCCATCTTGGGCCCTCTTGGGGCTCTTCAGGCCGTCTGGGGACGAACGGAGGTCGTGAGGGCCGTCTTGGGCGCATGGCTCTCGAAGCCTGCTCGATTCCCTCCTGGTGGACCCTGTCAGGGGCGGTCTTTGGGGCTTCTTTGGCCGTTCTGGGGCATTGTCGGCCGTCATGGGGCTTTGTTGGGCCGTCTTGACGCCCTCTTGGGGCCAGGCCCTTCTCTGGCGATCTTGCCATGCCCTTGTGCAGTCAAAGCATTTCGGAAGTCCAGAATTGCGAGCTTGCTGAAATATCTATCCTTTTCGAGGTCCTGCAAAGATTCCAGCAAGGACTCGACAATCGGAGGTCTGGCGGGATTTGCAGCGCTGCAGGACCTCTCGACCGGCGTCCCTGGCCAAAACGCGTATCCGACAAAACCGCCCAAGCGCGAATCGCAACGCACAAATCGGGCTGCTGCTGCTGCTGCTGCTGCTGCTGCTGCTGCCTGGCGATCCTACAATGTCAGCTCTTTTTCGCTGTCCTGCAAGGAGGCTTCCAGCAAAGACTCACCAATCGGAGGTCAATGTAAACTTACGATGGAAAACACAACGAATGAAAGAGAAAAAGAGAGAGAGAGAGAGAGAGAGAATGCACAAGCCGGTAAAATGCACCAGCAAGCAACATGCACTAGCTGGCAGAATGCACCACGGAGGGAGGGGTGGGAGGAGAGAGGCAACCCAGGGTTCTAACGGTGGCCAAACATTCAGTCTCACCACGGAATTGATCCCTCCGGGGCCTTGGTGATGTCACCAGCTGCCACCTTCGGAGCTGTCGTCAATTCAGCTTGATCTCCGGATCCCAATTCAAGGGACGGTGCGTTTCAAAAGGGGGGTGTCACCAGCTCCCGTCTTGGGATCTGTCTTCGGTCCGGCTCGATCCACGAGGTCGGATGCGGAGCGTACCCGCCCGAAGATGATGCGCCCCAGGTCCAGGCAAGGGTGCGTCCAAGACAATCCCAAGTGCGTCCCTGGCATGCCCGCTGGAAGCTTGTGCTTCCGAGGAACAGGACATGTGAGCCGTGACTGCCAACGTAGCGACCTGGATCAGGGCAGAAGCATCGTCGAGCTCCAGTGGTGGGGCCGAGTCGAGATGCTCCCATGGAGCAGTGCGAGCAAATGGGCGGGCCTCTGCTGCCTTCCTGTGGCCGGACATTCGCAAGGCGACCCTGGTTTGAAGTCGGGCCTGTCCCTCTTCAGGAGGAACATTCGAAAAATAGTAAAACAACTAGTCTGGGGACGATTTGTTCGAATATGCTTGAATGTATTTTGGCATGTTTGAGCTGTTTTTTATTTTCCGTTCAAACTCAGCCCGTAAGGGGGACATGCCCGACCTAACCCGGGTTCAAAACATAAGAAGTGAACGGCAAAACCGAACGGACCTCTTCGCGCGGAAAATCCCACGCCACGGCTTACGGCGGGCCGCCGGCCCGCCGCGCTACAGCGGGAACGGGGGCGCCTGCGCGCCAACCTTACGCGGGCAGCTCGCCCACGAATGTCGGCGCAGTCGAGCCCGTTTCTCCCATCGCTCGGATGCCATGCGCGCGCGGGCGCAGCACTTCGGGTAGGGGATCGACTACAGAGTTGGTTTCCCCCAACTGTGGTTTCGTCCTCGAAGTTGCACATCAAATTGTAGAATGTTCGTGCATGCGCGGAGTATTCGACGTCTATGTCATGGATTCGACGAGGATATCAATCCTGGGGTGAAAAACAATTCTGTAGTCGATCCCCTGCTCGAGCACTGCGGTGCGCGGTTGCCTCAGGAGCCCGTCCGGGCGTGCTGCCTCTTGTGCGCCCGACGGGTCTCTGGCACAGAGCGGGAGGCACCGCGGCCGCGGCGGAGGTCGAAAGCGAGCAGGACAATGCGGAGGTTCAAAGATGGGGTCCTGCGGGATGGGGTCCTAAGGATAGGAAGGGATCCAAGGGTGTTTGAGTAACCTCGTCTGTAAGACCCTATCCCTCAGGACACCATCTTTGAGCCTCCGAACAAAATGGCCTCGGACTGCAGCGGCAAAACAATACACCAGCTGGCAAAATGCACCAACGAGCAAAACGCACCGGCCAGAAAAAGGCACCAGAGAAGGAGCCCGAGGCCTCCTTAGCGGACGCCAAATTCTAACAATCTCATCACATAATCTCTCCCTTGGGGCCTTGCGGATCGCCAACTGTCATTTTGGGATCTCGAGATCCTGGGAATTTAGTAAATCATGTTGGGCCTTTTCACTCCGTATCTGGCAAGGAGCTGCTCGCACAGCGTCCCGGTGCAAGACGCATCGTTGGCTCAAGAGCGATAAAGAAGAGAAAATGCATCAGCAAAATGCACCAGCAAGCAACATTCACTAGCCGGCAGAATGCACGAGAGAGAGGGGCCAAGACTGCCCAAGAGGCCTCCAGGACGACACAAGAGGCTTCCCGAGGGGTCCCCAAAGGAGGAACCAAACTGGTATTCTGAGCCTTTCTCCCAACAGGGCACCTAAGGCCCTCGACACGCCCGAAAGAGGCCCCTGAGAGGCTTTGAGAGAAAGTCGCCCGCGGTGCGACTCGATGCACAGATTTGCAGTACTCGCCTCTTCACGCCTGTAATCAGCCGAAAGGAAATGGCGGCGGGGATATTCGGCAGATGGGGGCAGAGATACCCATCGGTCGGAAGAAGTAGGTAGAAAAATGAAATAGGAAGGCGTTGCAAGTAGATTGGTTCCGTCCGCCCCTGAAGGAGGACGGAAACTGTGAAGCCACTCGATCATTGAAGTAGGAAGGCGCTTAAAGTAGATTGGAATCTGGAAATCCCGAAGTACTTACTGTCATCGACCACCGATGGGTAGAGAGCGCGAGGGAACTCAAACTGGCACACGTCTGCAGAAGGAAGCGACACGAAAGGAGGGAAGACGGTAAGCAAGCGAGCCAGAGACCCTGTCGCGGTCGTTGAGCACGCTGACCGGGACCCCGAGCGCCTTCTCCTCGACGCTCGCGGGCCCCCGACCGCAGCCTGTTCTCCCTTCCCTCTCGCTCTGGCCGCGCCCCCCGGCGTCGCGAGCGCGCCTTCTCTGGAAGCCTCCCAGGTGGGGTCCGAGCAGACGGGGTCGGAGGATCGCGCCGCATCGACGACACCTCGGCGATGCATCGGCGACGTCGGCGTGAAGCAAAACGGGATCCACGTCGAGCCGCATCGCCGATGCATCGGCGATGCGGCCGGCCATATCCTCCGACCCCATCTACCTGCAACCCATCTGGGGGGCCCAGCTTCTCCTCCTCCTCCCTGTCCTCTCCTCCTCCTCCCCGCTCCTGCTCTTTCCCCCTCCTCCTCCTGATCCTGCTCCTCCTCCCTACTCTCTGCACTCTCCTCCTCCCTCTTCTCTCCATGCCCTCTTCTCCTCCTCCCCGCTCCTGCTCTCTCCTCCTCCTCCTCCTCCTCCTCTTCCTCCTCCTCCTCCTCCTCCTCCTCCTCCTCCTCCTCCTCCTCCTCCTCCTCCTCCCCGCGCCTGCTCTCCCAGCTCTCTTCCCCCTCTCCTCCTCTCCTGTCCTTGCTCCTGCTCTGTCCTGCTCTGCTCCTGCTTCCTGCTCTGCTCCTGCTCCTCCTCCTCCTCCTCTTCCTCTTCTCTCCTCCTCCTCATGCTCTCCTTCTGCTCCTGCTCCTGCTCTCTGCTCTCTACTCCTCCCTCTTCTCTCCCTGTCGCTCCTCCTCCTCCCCGGTCCTCTGCTCCTCTGCCCTCTCCTCCTCCCTCTTCTCTCCCTGTATCTCCTCCTCTCCCTCCTCCTCCTCCTCCTCTGCCTCTCCTCCTGTCCTCCTCTCCTCCCACGCTCCTCTCTCTTCCCCCTCCTCTCTACTCCTGCTCCTGCGCCTCCTCTCCTCTCTCTGCTCTGACTCCGTCCCTTATCTTCCCTGTCATCTCTCCTGCTCATTCCTCCTCTCTCCTCCTGCCTCCTCCTCCCTCCTTCCTCTCCCCGCTACTGCTGTCTCCCCATCCTTCTTTCTCCTCATCATGCTCCTCCTTCACCTCCCTTGCTGCTCCTCCTCCCTCTCTCCTCTTCTCTTCTCCTCCCCCTCCTCCCTCCTCTCTCTCCTCCTCCCCCTCCTCCCTCTTCTCTCCCTGTCCTCTCCCTGTCATCTCCTCCTCCTCCCCGCTCCTGCTATCTCCCCCTCCTGCTCCTGCTCCTGCTCCTCCTCCCTGCTCTCTGCTCTATCCTCCTCCATTGTCTCTCCCTGTCCTCTCCTCATCCACCCCGCTCGTTGATCTCTCCCCCTCCGCCTCCTGCTCCTGATCTCTGCCCTCTCCTCCCTGCTCTCTGCTCTCTCCTCCTCTCTCGTCTCTCCGTCCCCTCCCCCTCCTCATCCTGCTCCTCCTCGCCGGTCTGCCTCCCTGCGCTCTGCTCTCTCCTCCTCCCTCTTCTGTCTCTCTTTTCCTTCATTCCTTCTCCTTCTAGATAACTCCTCCCTGTCGCACCCCAAGGCCAGTTTTTAGGGCGGGCCGGGCGTTTCGCCTGAGACTTCCTCACGATTTATGACTCTGAAGCTTAAACAATGGACAACAGCTTCACAGATGGAGGGCGGGCCGTTTTCAAAATGTGGTTCCCGCCTTAGCGCCGCGCACATGCGTTTTCAAACATCGCAAGAGTTTCACGTATTGAGGGCGGGTGGTTTTCAAAATGTGGATCCCGCCTTAGCACCGCGCACATTCGCAAACTTTGCAAAGAGTTTCACGCATCGAGGGTGGGTGATTTTCAAAATGTGGCTCTCGCCTTAGCGCCGCGCGCATTCCTTTTAAACATGTGCAAGAGTTTCACGGATTGAGGGCGGTTCCTTTTCAACATGTGGCTCTCGCCTTAGCGCCGCGCACATTCGTTGTCAAACTTTGCAAGAGTAGCACGGATATCCATGAACAACGTGCCATACATGGTGTTTTGGAAAGATTCAGGGTTATGCGGGTGCAACAAATAATTCGGGGTGCTCAAATCCCAGACATGGCGCTCTGGTACGATTCCGGATCGTCAAGACGCAGCAGTCAGGTTGATACGTGGCGTTGAAATCCCGAGAACAATGTTGTGGCACGCTTCAGGATCTTCAAGCGGTTGTCTTCCAACGAGGCAGTTCCCTCAATGGAAATGAACCGTTGTGGGGGCCTACGTGTGAGAAGGGAGCTTAGAGGGAGGGTTACTTGATGACTCTTGGTTTTCCACTGGTCCTCCTCCTCCTCCTCCTCCTTGCGCTATGCTCTCTCCTCCTCACTCTTCTCTCCCTGCCCTCTCCTCCTCCTCCCCGCTCCTGCTCTCCCCCTCCTCCTGCTCCTGCTCCTGCTCCTGCGCCTCCTCCCTGCTCTCTGCTCTCTCATCCTTCGTCTCTCCCTGTCATCTTCTCCTCCTCCCCGCTCCTGCTCTCTCCCCTCCTCCTCCTGCTCCTGCTCCTGCTCCTCGTCCATGCTCTCTGCTCTCTCCTCCTCCCTCTTCTCTCCCTGTCCTCTCCTCCTCCTCCTCCTCCTCCTCCTCCTTCTCCTCTTCCGCTCTTACCCTCCTCCTCCGCTCTGACCTTCTTCCTCTACCCTCCTCCCTCCTTCCTCATCCTCCTCCTCCTCCTCCTCCCCTCCTCCTACTCTTCATCCTGCTCCTCTCCTCTCCTCCTCCCTCTTCTCTACCTGTCCTCTCCTCCTTCTCATTCCTTCTCTTGCTCTCTCCGCCTCCTCCTCCTGTCTCTCCTCCTCCTCCTTGCCTCTGCTTCTCTCTCTCCTGCTTCCTCCTCTCCTGCTCTCTATCTCTGCTCTCTCCTCCTCCCTCTCCTCGTCCCTCTTCTCTCCCTGCCCTCTCCTCATCCTCCCCGCGCCTGCTCTCACCACCCTCTTCCTCCTCCTCCCCCTTCCGCCTCCTCCTCCTCCTCCTCTCCCCCTCCTCCTCCTCCTCCTCCTCCTCTCTCATCCTCATCTCCTCCTCCTCCTCTCCTCCTCCTCCTCCTGCTTCTCCTCCTCCTCCTTCTCCTCCTCCTCCTCTTTCCTCCTCCTCACTTTCCCTCTCTCCTCCTCCTGCTCCTCCGCCTCCTCTCTCCTCCTCCTCCGCCTCCTCCTCCTCCTCCTCCGCCTCCTCCTCCTCCTCCCTCCCCCTCCTCCTCTCTGCTCTCTGCTATCTCCTCCTCTCTCGCCTCCTCCCTGTCCTCTCTCCCTGTCCTCGCTTCATGTTCACCGCTCCTGCTCTCATCCCCCTTCTCCTCCTCCTCCTCCTCTCCTCCTCCTCCTCCTCCTCCTCCTCCTCCTCCTCCTCCTCCTCCTCCTTCTCCTTCTCCGCGCTCCTGCTCTTCCTCCTCCTCCTCCTTCTCCTTCTCCTTCTCCGCGCTCCTGGTCCTTCTCCTCTCCCTGTTCTCTGATCTCTCCTCCTCCTCCCTCGTCTCTCCCTGTCCTCTCCTCCTTCTCCGCCTCCTCCTCCCCGCTCCTGCTCTCGCCCCCTCTTCCTCCTCCTGCTCCTTCTCCTGCTGCTCCTCCTCCTCCTCCTCCTCCTGCTCTCCGCTCTGTCCTCCTCCCTCCTCTGTCCCTGTCCTCTCTTCATCCTCCCCGCTACTGCTGTCCTCCACCTCCTCCTCCTCCTCCTCCTTCATCTCCTCCTCCTCCTCCTGCTCCTCCTCCCTGCTCTCTGCTCTCGCCTCCTCCCTCGTCTCTCCCTGTGCTCTCCTCCTCCTCGTCCTCCTCCTCCTTCTTCTGCTCCTCCAACTGCTCCTGCTCCTCCTCCTCATCCTGCCCGCTCCTGCTCTCTCCCCCTCCTCCTCCTGCTCCTCTTCCTCCCTGTTCTCTCCTCTCGCCTCCTCCCTCATGTCTCCCTGTCCGCTATTCATCCTCCCTTCCTGCTCCTCCTCCTTGCTCTCTGCTTTCTCCTCCTACCTCTTCTCTCCCTGTCCTCTCCTCCTCCTCCTCCTGCTCCTCCTGCTCCTCCTGCTCCTGTTCCTGCTCCTCCTCCCTGCCCTCTGCTCTCTCCTCCTCCCTCTTCTCTCCCTGTCCTCTCCTCCTCCTCCTCCTTCTCCTCCTCCTTTTCGCTCCTGCTCTCTCCCGCTCCTCCTCCTCCTCCTCCTCCTCCTCCTCCTCCTCCTTCTGATACTCCTCCCTGCTGTCTGCTTTCTCCTCCTCCCTCTTCTCGTCCTGTCCTCTCTTCCTCCTCCTCCTCCAACTGCTCCTGCTCCTCCTCCCTGCTCTCTGATCCTCCCTCTTCTTTCCCTGTCCTCTCCTCCTCCTCTCCGCTCCTGTTCTCTCTCCCTCCTCCTCCTGCTCATGCTCATCTTCCCTGCTCTCCGCACTCTCTTCCTCTCTCTTCTCTCCCTGTCATGCGTTGCAGATAACGAATCGCGCAGCAATGCTGAGCCATATGATACCAAAGGCGACAAACTTCAAGTGTTGCTTCCATGTTGGGTCAGAGCTGGTGGTGTTAGTTACCTCTGGCGTATCTGTCGCCGTGAGTCGGCGAATCGGCTGTGGAGGCATGCCCCCATGCTGATTTAAGAGCATGGGTGCTGCGCTTCCGCGCAATGGGAGTTGGTATGTTTTGAAAGTTTGTGTGGAACTCACGTCATCCTGATCTCCGGCGCTTGAGAAAGTCGCCTCCCAGCGCACCCCTGAGGACCATTTCCGGCACTGCGCTGGGCGTGTCCCCATCCGGCGCTCTCGCTTGAGACATCGACATCCTCGCAACATCGCCCTTCGAGCCCCCAGCTCACCCCAAGGGACCAGTTCCGGCGCTGCGCCAGACGTGTCCCCACCCGGCGCTCTCGCTCGAGACATCCTCGCTACATCGTCCCTAGGGCCCCCAGCGCGCGCCTAGGGACCATTATTCGGCGCTGCACCGGGCGCGCCTGGCGCACTGGGCGACGAGGAGGAGGAGGAGGAGGAGGAGGAGGAGGAGGAGGAGGAGGAGGAGGGGGAGGAGGAGGAGGAGGAGGGGAGGAGGAGGAGGAGGAGGAGGAGGAGGAGGAGGAGGAGGAGGAGGAGGAAGAGGAGGAGGGGGAGGAGGACAAGCTAGGTGCGCTCGCGTCATATCTGACATCCTACCCCTCCCTCCCATCCCTTACCATGGCGTAGATCCCCCCCTCTACTCGCACAGTCGGATGTCGAGCAGGGCAATGATCCCAAAAGGGTACGCGATGCATTGTAGAGCACGGCATGGCATGGCGTAGAAGAGCACCGCAAAGCGTAGTATCAACGTAACATTTCATTGCATGCCGTGGCATGGCACGGGAAATGACGCCAGCGCTGCAGCGCGAGCACGAGTCGGAACGAGCGGAAGCGCGGAAATGAGGTCAGTGCTGCAGCGGGAGCACGATTCGGAACGAGCGGAAGCACGGAAATGAGGCCAACGCTGCAGCGGGAGCACGATTCGGAAGGAGCGGGGCCCGAAAATGAGGCCGGCGCCTCGGCGAGAGCAGCATTTTGGAAACAAATGCAGGCGAAAACCCAACTCCGGGGAATCCTGTGTGCAAAAAAAAATACGCGGGGGGGGCTAATATTTTCAAACCGTCATCAGGGGAAAGAGGAAGAGTAGTATTCATATTGAGTATTTGTGGAAGAGGAAGAGGAGGAGGAGGAGGAGGAGGAGGAGGAGGAGGAGGAGGAGGGAGGAGGAGGGGGATGAGGAGGAGGAGGATGAGGAGGATGAGGATGATATTGAGGACTAGCACGAAGACGAGCACGAGGAGAAGAATGATGAGCAGGGAGGAAGACGCAGGAGGACGGAGGAAGCAGGAGGGAGGCGGGAGGAGAGAGAAATTGGAGGAGGAGGAGGAGGAGGAGGAGGAGGAGGAGGAGGAGAGCGAGAATGTGGAGGAGGGACGAGAGGGAGGAGGCGGAGGAGGAGGAGGAGGAGGAGGAGGGATCACCTCCTGGGACCTCCAGGGATAAAGGATCGAGGCTTCGACTTCAGGGGGTCCTTGGGAGGATGTGGAGGAGCTGGTGGAAGATGCGAGCATGGGCGTGGGAGCGTCTGGAGCGGTGGAGGGAGGAGGGATTGGGAAGATGTGGGGGAGAATGTGGAGGATGCGAGCATGGGAGCGAGAGCGTCTGGATCGTCGCCATGGCTGTCATCACCGTCGTCGTCGTCGTCTTCGTCGCCGTCGTCGGCGTCATCGTTGCCACCACCGTCGTCGTCGGCGTCGCCCTCGTCGACACCATCGCCCTTGCCGTCGTCGTTTACCCTGCCATCTGCTCCGCCTTCTGTTCCTCAGTCGTCGTACGCGTGCGTTTAGTCCTCGTCGTCATCGACGTCTTGATCCTCGCCGTCCTCTTCCCCTCCCTCGTGGTCCTCACCGTCATCTCCGTCCTCCTAGTCCCCGCCCTCCTGATCACCCCCTCCTGGCCCTCACCCTCATGATCTCACTCTCCTGATTTTCGCTCTCCTAACCCTCGCCCTTCATCCTCACGATCCTTCTCCTGATGCTCGCTCTGTCTATCCTCACTCTGCGGATCCTCCCTCTCCTGCTCCACACTCGCGCGATCCTCACCCTGCTGGTAATCATTATCCTCATCCTCGCTCTCCTGATCCTCATTCTCCACGTCCTCACCTTCCTGCTCCACGCTCGCCTGATCCTCACCCGCGTGACCCTCGCTCTCCTGATCCTCCCCCTCGCGAACCTTGCCCTCCTGATCCTCGCCCTCATCATGCTCACCCGCCTCACCACCGCCTCCCGCTCAGTCTACCCTCGCCCAAACGCGCACGCCCCTTCTTCTGTATATAAAAACTCCCGATCAACCGCAGAGCGGGCGGCTAGTAGCTTGTTCCTCCCAAGATCAATGCACATCGGAAATTAATGCGTATAGCCGTGTCGTATACGCTTTTAGGTGTAGTCAGACTGGCGTCGCATATAGGGGACCTAGCGTTCCCGCTATTGGCGCCCCCGCCTGCTAGCCGCTAGCCAGTAGTCAAGCTCTGTCGTCGCACTGGTAGTGCTGGCATACCAAGCCGTGCCGTGGAATAATATTGCGATAGGAAAAGCTGACCACATCTTAGTGAGGCCAGCCCCGCTACCAAATAAAAATAAGCGATAGGACCACGGGATGGTAGGTGGAATGCAATATGGAGAATAATGAATCATCCAGAAGATGATAGATCCTGCTTCCAATGCAGTAGTGAACTCAGCCACAGTCCAAGCACATAAAACACTGGTGCTTGAGCCAAGCAACAGCGGGACTCTCGCTACGCTCGCTGTCTCTGTATCCCAGTCCTCCGATCTACTTTCAGAGTCTCACAGCTGCAAACATGTGATTCGGTCCGTCGCCAGCATGACTGTAAACATGCCTTTCAATTCGGGCCTGTCCGGTCTTAGGAGCGTCGTCCCAGATGGACCAAGAGGAACCCAAAGCCGTCACACGAAGGCCCTAAAGTCTCCCAAGAGAGGGCCCCAAGACGGCCGATAGAACCCCCAAGACGGACGGCCCTCAGACCGACCAGAGAGGCACAGAAAACGCCCCCCGAAGGCGCCCGACGGCCCAAGAGCCCCTCAAAAATACCACAAGAAGGCCCGAACTGTGGGCCCCGTCCCCATTGCGGCTGCTCACCAGGGAAAGATCTCTGATGGCCCTGGGGCACGACAACCTCTGACGCCGTTTTCCTCCTGTCGCCACGGAAGCCTCCACAACGACGGCGATGGCGACGGCGGCGACGACGACGACGCACAAGGTTGGCGTCCTGGTCGCCTTGCAGGAAGAACCTGCATGGCGAACGCGCGCGGGCCAACGCTTGGCATGAAAGAAACGGGTCCTGAGGGAAACGGGTCCCGGACGCCAGGGCCTTTCCAGAGACCAAGTCTTCATCCTGCATAGTTTTCTGCCAGACGCGGGGCCCGTGGAAGGCCCTAGAAAGCTAAAAGCGTGGAGAAACCTCAGGGCCCGTTTCCCTCGGGACCCGCTTCCTTCGTGGGGAGGCGCCCAAACACCAATCGGGGAGACGTAAGTCTCGGGTTCGGGGGACTTGGGTTGGCCTGACGGGGCCATCATGAAAATGACGCGACCCAAACTGAAATTTGATGCGTGCTCCCGCTGGAGACATCCCACGGACACTGGACCGTCAAAACCCAGGACGCAATCATCTAAAAGCATCGGCACAACCCGAGTTCTGGCGTACTCGAGTCTAACGTTTCCCCGACCCAAAGAATACGACCGACTCCGGACTCAGGGATCTGCTGTCCCGGGTAAATTCAGACCTGGGTCAATCGGGCTTTGCAAGATCCTGCACGCAAGCCCGGGTTAATGCACCCCTGGCTCTGCATGATCCTGCTAGATCCAGCGCTCTGGCTGACCCCCGTTTGCAGTGACCCCCGTCTCTTGAGCCCCGGAAGACCCGCTTCCCTCAGGACCCGCCTTCATGGCGAGGCGCCCAAACCCCGAGGCAACTGGATAAAAGCCAGTGGATCCGCGACGAAAAAACACACCCCGCGGAAAAAGTTGGTTGGCCGAGGGTCGAACAAGAAATCACATCGTCGGACGTCTGAGACTGAAATCCGGACTTCCCATCAGCCTCACGCCTGGCTGGGCTCGCGACGAAGATCTTCGAGGCGGGCGTGGCGAATGGCTCCAAGGGGGACAGCGCGCGACATGATTTCGCCGGTCTACCGCAGCAACGTGCAACGAAAGAGGAGGGGGAGGAGGAGGAGGAGGAGGAGGAGGAGGAGGAGGAGGAGGAGGAGGAGGAGGAGGAGGAGGAGGAGAGGAAGGAGGAGGAGGAGGGGAGGAGGAGGAGGAGGAGGAGGAGGAGGAGGAGGAAGGAGGAGGAGGAGGAGGAGGAGGAGGGGGATGATGATGATGATGATGATGATGATGATGATGATGATGATGATGATGATGATGATGCTGATGCTGATGATGATGATGATGATGAGGAGGAGGAGGAGGAGGAGGAGGAGGAGGAGGGAGGAGGAGGAGAGGGAGGAGGAGGGGGAGAGGAGGAGGAGGAGGAGGAGGAGGAGGAGGAGGAAGGGGAGGAGGAGGAGGAGAAAGACCCTGGGAATACCCTGAAAAGCACCAGTCGTGCTCAATGCGATCACTCTACCCGCGCATTCTGCTACTGCTGCAGCTAGTGAGCTTGCCCCTCCTGGCTGCCCGCGCTGACTATGACCCCATCAGGCCTGCCAGCGGCGGCGGCGGCGGTAGAAGCAACAACACGAGCGCGGGTTCGGCACTCTTCCCTCCAAACCAGTGCCTCCCGCACCGCCTTGGGCATCCCTTTGGGATGGGGCCACTTACCTAAGCCCAGTCTTCTCAAATTCTGCACGCCTTTAGCAGTCATAGGGCGACACTCCCCCGACAGTGCCGCAACCATGAGACTGGCATAACAACCACAAGTCGTACATGCGTACACGTCCATACAATCAAACATACAACAAAACATGCGACGAACGCAAATCCTTCCCCCAGGCCCTCACCGTCACCGCGGCCCTCGATCGGATGCCCACCCCGCCCGCCGCCGCATGCTGCTTAGGAGCGCACGGTGTGCAAGCAAACTCGGGTAGGCTCTCGCGCTGCAGTTTGCTCACAAACACTACAGCTCCACTGGGCCCCAACTTTCTCACGGGCGTGGGGTGAGGCCTCCAGAAACCTCGCTTGCTTGCTCAAGCGTTGCTTGGTTCTCGGCGCAATCCTCGAATTTAAAGGGTCAGCTTCCACGCGGACCTGATGTGCACGGACCGCTCGCTTACGGACCAAATGGGCGACAGCATCTATCAAGGCACCTCTGGCTTAGCAAACGCGCTGTCAAGGACCGCAGCGGCCGCGCGCTGAGCAACTTCATCGGCGCACATGGTGCCGGCAATAATGAAAATTTGCTGCGCCGATTCGTTCCCGCTCAGTCGCTCTCCCTGATGGCTGTGTAGGAAGCTTATCTCTACATCTGCCTCGCCACGATCTCTCAAGGCAGCCCTGATCTGCCACCGCGCACCAGCATTTTTCCGCTCGGGCTCAAATGGTGCCGCTGCCGCCATCCATGCACCAGCGGCATGTGGTCTGCATGGTACCGCAAGTTCCCTCGCGCGCGGCGCAGCGCGATGAGGAACGCCTGCAGCTCCGACCTCGGCACCGTCTGCTTCGGTCCAGAGGGCCTTGCTGCAGCGCCCGCCGCCGCCCGCAGCTCGCCCGGCGCCTGCGGCGAGCCCTGCGGAATGACCGCGCCCACCCCGCGCTGAAGCAGTCGAGGATCATCGCTATGCTCCCCGCCCGAGCCGTCGCCGAAAACATCAAAGAAACCATCGCCGCCCCTGTGCAGCTCGGCTGCTTCCTCCCAGTCGCCCGTCGCGTGCTCGAGCTCGTTGGCGCCCTCCGGGCATTCGCGCCGAGTCCATCCGACGGGCGGGGGGCTCCGCAGCCAGAGGCAGGGCGCCGCAGCAGCGCCCTCGACTGCCCTGGCAGCCAACGACTTCGTGCTCTCGTAGTTCACGTGGCCCACGTTGCGCGGGCACTGCCGCGCTCGATGCAGAAATGTCTCGTCGGCGGCGCCGCGGCGTGGGCAGGTGGCCGACCCCATCAAAACCAGCCTCCTCCTGCTGCTCCCTCGTCCAGGACGCCCCCGCCATCGCCTGCAGCTGCGTGGCCCAGACGCCGTGCTCTCCATCCCGCTGGAGCCTCGCCAGGTGCGGCTTCGCTCGGTGCAGGTCTGCGCCGTCGGCGAGCCCTGCCCCAGAATCATGGCGCGCGGCCCTGGCCCACCGGGCCATCTTGATGCTGGCCGCAAGCTCATCCAAGAGTTCCGTATCATCAACCTCCATGTCCTCGCTGAGCTGCCAGGCCCCCCCCCCCCCCCCCCGACGTCGGAACGCCAAGTGGTTGCCGAGGGCAAGCCCCAGCCAGCAGTGAGCAGCGCGCAGATGACTGTCGAGATGGCCCCGCGTACTCTGCCCCACCCTGTGGCCAGCGTCAGCGCCGTCAGCTCCCGGCGCAGCAGGCGCCGCGCCCTGTGCGCTCGCTGCCGACGCTCAGGATGGTGCCCCCAGAACTGCATGCGCTCGCCGAGCAACTGTCGCGACAGAGCTAGCCCTGGATCATCCTCGCCCAGGGCGAGCGCCAGCGTGGTGGTCAGGCACTTGCCGAAGCCTCTGCCCGCTATCGCGCGGCTGGCTTGGCGCCGGAGCTTCGGCATGGCCGTCGGCGCCACGCCGAAGACCTGGTGGCCGTGGACCAGCGCTGGCTGCACCTCCGTTTCGCGGAGCATCCTGGCGTGCATCCCGAGCCGCGCCTTCCGCCGCGTACGGTAGATGAGGTGCAGCCTCCGCCGCGGTCTTGGCGCGCTTCTGGAACTGGCTCTGGTCGCGCCTCTTGCTCACCGTGGTGCCGACCCCCAAGTCCACCGCCTCCTCGACTGCCTCGAGCAGGAGGCCGGGCCCGCCTGCGCCAGCAGCCACCTGCTGGGCTGCATCCATGTCCGAGGAAACGACGACGGACTTACCAGATGGTGAGCTGCGCGGCATTGCAACACTTGCCAAACTGCCTAAGTGCATCCACCATCTGGTCCACTGCGACCCGCTGCAGGCCCTCGGTCCTCAGGATTGTTTCATCCACGAGCGTCTGCAATCCGACGCACGGCGACCCTGCGCCCACCCGCTGCAACAACGGGCACAGGAACATCTTGCCGACCTTCGCGCCGTGGTTGCTGCCCGCGACGATCGAGCGCACCGCCGACATTTCGCCAGAGCACCAGCCATGCCTCCTCAGCCGCCGTGGCGCCGAGTAGGCCTGCGCCTCCAGCGAAATGACGACAGCTGGAGAGGCCTCCTGCTCCGCGACCTCCAGCAGCGCGATAAGGGCGATGCTGTCGAAGAACCGCTCCAAGTCCACCAACGCCTCGATCGCGCAGAGACCCATGGCCACCGCGCTCTCGTCGAGGACCGACTGGCAGAGAGCGGCCCTCAGAGCACTGTTGCCCCAGATTGCTGCGTCCCAATGCTGTTCCAGCGCGTACGACCACTCGTCGGTGACTGTCGCGCGGGTGCGTGACCAGCACGTCACCAGCAGCGGCAACAGCCCTATGGCGTGGTCGCTGCCTCGGCTTTTGGGCAGTAGCGACAGGATGGCGGTGAGGACCTGGCGCGGCCACATCGCCGCCGCCTCAACCTCCTGCAGCAAATCCACCCACTGCTGCCACGTCGGAACTCCGCGGCGCGTCGGAACACCTCCTCGACGCCTCTTCGGGGAGAGGCTGACGAGGGCCTGCCCCGCCTGCTTCAGGTGGAAAAGCGGGGGCTACTCCTCGCGAGCACGCGCGGCAGTGCGCGCCAGCCAATCGTGCAACTTCGTCTCATCGAAGCTGCGCGACGTCCAGACGGCCGACCAGTGGCCCTCGCGAAGGTGCATCTGCTTCATGGGGTCCGCCACGGCCTCGCCCAGCGGCAAGGTCTCAAGCTGCGCTGGCCCCTCTCCTTTCGCGCGCCTGTGCACCGGGCCCGGGGAGGGGCGCCAGGAGGCACCGACCCACTGCGAGCACTGCTGCCCCGCCTTGACCTGAGCCCGCCCTGCTGCGCGCGCTGCCCAGCGCGACGTCTGCGCGCTGAACTGCTCCAGCTCCGCCTCCCCCGCGCGCGCCGGGCCTGCCAGCAGCTGCCGGCTGCCGCCAGCCGGCGACCTCTTCAGGCACGCGCTGCTTGCCGAAATGCTCGAGGCCCTTCGCCGGCCCCTGGCCTCGGCCCAAGCCCACCTCCTGAGCCTTCTCGATGACGGACTGCACGCTCCGCTGCTGCTGGCGCGCGTCGGGGCCGTTGCGCGCGCGTGCCCACGCGCTGCAAGCGTGTCAACTATCGCCCACCACTCCGCCACTGGATCCGCAAAGTGGGCTCGGCCTGCCACGGCCTTCGTGCGCTGCGCTGTGGATCGGACTCCGTGGGCTCGACCTCGCATGGCCCCTCCTTCCCCTGTAAACCCTCGTGCATGATCGCTGCCTCCTCTAGCGCGCTGACCCAGCGCGCGTACAGGTAAGAGAGGGCCTCGCACTCCTCGCCATCAGTGCGGCGCGCCGCCCTCGCTTGAGGCAGCGCTGCCGCCAGGCGGAGCGGCTGCTGCGCCGCCAACTGCTGAGCGGCATGATAGCATGTAGCTGGGATGGCATAGGCTACCTCCGCCGCCGCCTCCTGGTGCAGATCATCCTCCATCTGCGCCATCTGCTCGATGGCCTGGCCGATGTCCTGCTCCTGCTGCTGCTGCGCCGCCGAGCTGCGTGCGACGCGCCGGCGTCCACCCGGCAAGGCGGCGGCCTCCTCCTTCACCCTCGACCTCCTGCTGCCCGGGTCTGGGGCGATCGGGGGCCTGAGGCGCGCGGGCAATGGGCGCGGCGTGACCAGCAACAAGTAGTCCCAGGCGCGCGCCGCGCCCAAAATGCTGGCCTTCAACCCGACGCGCGTCTTCCACGGAACCTGGTGGTAAACCTCCAAGCGAATGCGATGTTCCGCGCCCAGGGAAACCACGCAGTAGTCGATCATGCTGCCTTTGCCCTTGTCGCAGGTGATCGTGCACCCCTGCGGGATCACCACCGAACCTCGCACAAGCTCGGGCCACGTCGTCTTCTCCAACGCATTGGGAAACACGTTCCAGTCCGCCAACACCATCCAGGGGTCAGCGATGCTGCGCAAGAAGCTCGTGAGCGACCTGAAGCGCGGCGCATTCCCCCCTGCCGTCAGCGGCACACCTGGGAAAAAAAACGCTCACCACCACGAAATTGCCGCGCAGCAGGGCCTCGCGCTCCGCCTCGTCCGCGTCGTACGAGGCCGCCACCGCCTCGTGGTACTGCTGGCGAGCCTTCTCCAGGTTCGCCTTAAATTTCACCTGTTTCTCCATCTGCTGGCGCTTGGCAAGCGCGTCCTGGCGCTTGCCCTGCCTAGCCACACCCTCCTGGCGACAACGCCATCCTCGACGGCGCCGCCATCTTCCCGCTCGACTCCCCTCCCTCACGCTACGTCATCGTAAACTTTGTTGTCCATCCTTGTCCTCTTCCTCTATCCTTGAGCGCTGTGCCCGACTTCGCTGTTTCGGCCACGGTCTTCGTGGCGCCTGCTTTGCGGCCTCAACCGTCCGAGCGGACGGCGAGGCACTGCCTTCCACCGCCTGCAGATGCAGGCCCAGCTGACGTTTCGGGTGTGCGCGCCCAGTGGCCAGCCGAAAAAAAAGGAGGGGGAAGAAGAGGGAGGAGGGGGAGTAGAGGCCTCTCAAATGTGGTTCGAATAGATTGGGTCTGAGGACCCCGCCGTATACTCGATGCATCGCCGATTATTGGCGATGCATCGGCGACGTCGGTGATGCACCAGCGACGTTGGGACGGAGAATATCGGGCTCTACATTTGACTACCTACCAGACCACTCCGACCCAACCCGCAGGCCCAAAATTCGGGTTGGGGGTGGTACGGGTTCCACATGAATCTTTCCAACGTTTCCCGACGACCCCCCTCTACCACGAATAGAGGTAGAAGAAGAAACAACTACATTCATATAAACTTTTGGCGCTCCGCGCGGATTTCTCGGATCTGTGCTGGACCTCACTCCCTGGCGCGCGGAGCGCGCCAGGGGTGGCGCCGGAGGCGCCGCTAGGGGGGCCACAACGCGGATCCAAGAAGTCCGCGCGGATCGCCAGCAGTTTATGTTCATGCTACTTTTTCTTCTTCGAGGAGGGCAAATTGGAGCCGTCGGGTTGGATTGGGGTGTTCTGGTGGGTGGTGAACATTGCGCCGCATCGCAGGGGGGGAGGGGGGCGCGAGGGCCCGCGCCGATCGGCAAAACAATGAATAAGAAAACGACAGGCCTCGGAAGAAATTAGCGAGTACTCATGCCGCATTCATCTGTCAATGCCCTCCCCAATGATCAATGTTGGCGGTGAGTGGAATGAGCTGCACTTCGACAACAGTCTTCCCCGCGCGCACCAATTTGAGCTTCGGGGGGCGGGGGAGTGTCCTCTGCGCAAGTTGGGGGAACGAAGAATGACATAGTCGGGGATGGACAGACCCCCCTTTAGCAAAACGTGGTTTAGTGAAAACGACCTGAGGCCCAAACCTAGCGGGCGCAAGCCTGGACAATAACGGCCACGGCGCCCTCTCGAAAACCGAAAACGGACAATTCACTAATCGACGTGTCACTGCTGGGGGTTCTGTCCACCCCCGACATAGACATAACAACTCGGAGGCCTCGCGGATTTCTCCGATCCGCGCTGGACCCCCCTGGCGGCGCCTCCGGCGCCGCCCCTCTGCCGGGTCACCTGGTGGGTGCGGAACACTGCACCGCATCGCCGATGCGTCGGTTAGGTCGGGCGTGTCTCCCTGCAGGGCAATCTTGGACGAACAATAAAACATAGTCAACGACCACTAAAACAAAATAGTCGGCAAAAACGTCCCTGGACTATGTTTCGACTACTCTTGAGCATTCTCCTTGTAATTAGACGGACAGGTCCGACCATCGTTGCGGGGGCGAAGGCCCCCCCCCTGATGACGAGCGCGCGCGCCCAGAGGCAGCGTCAACGACAACGGGAGGCATCCGACAGCTCCATCCTCGAAGCTCGACCCCGGACCCTCGCGCCTGCGCCTCCACCGCTGGAGGCCGCCCAAGCGGGGCCGCAGCAGGTGAGGCCCGAGGCTTGCACCGCACCGCCGATGCATCGGCGATGCACCAGCGACGTTGGGTTGGATAAACGTCAGGGTAATGATCACGCCGCACCTCCGATGCGTCGGCGATTCGGCGCGATCTTCTGACCCGATGTGCGGAGCCCCCTGAAGGTCTCAAGAGACCTCCCGGGAACTCTCGGAGCGACGAAAGGCGCACAGAAGGCCCAGAACATGTCCCACACCTTGACCGGCAAACCTCTCATCCCTCCGAACCTCGATCCGTCCTCGAGGCTCGATCCTCCTCCCCGCGGCCGCCGGACTGTGGGCTGAGGATCGCAGATGGGGCTTCGAAGATCGAGCATCGACCGGCGGACTTCGCAGTTCGATCCCAACCCCTGGCCCCCCTCCTCTCTGGAAAACGTGAGGCTCGGGTCTGGGGGACTCGGGTTGGTCTGACGGGGCCGTCAAGAAAATCACGAGACCCGATCTACAGTTGACGCGAGCTCCCACTGCAAAAACCCCACGGAGACCGGATCGTCAAGATCAGGACGGGCTCGCCAGAAAGCGTCGGCAAACCCGAGCTCCGGCGACCTCGAGTCCTGCGTCTCCCAAGGGCTCCCAACTTCGCGCTTCGCGCTGCGCGAAGTGCGAATAACTTTGCGCCCTCGCGCCGCCTCCCCAGGGAGAAAAGGAGGATGAAGAGGAATCGGAGCCGAACCGTGAAGCGCGAAGCGCGAATAACTTCGCGCCCTCGAGGGCGCCCTTGGTCTCCCCAACCTCTTGGTCAGCTCCCGGGGGAACTCCCCCATGCTGAGCAGGGCGAGCTTCCGGGCCGTCGGCCACTTCTTCATCGGGCTGCCTGCAGGAGCGCAGCGTCGAGGGATCGACGAGGACGAGGAGCATCGAGCATCGGCGGCGAAAGGAGGCTCGACGAAGAGGCTCGTGGGATCGAGCAGGACGGGGAGGCTCGACGAGGAGGATCGTGGGATCGAGGAGGACAAGGAGGCTCGAGGAGGAGGATCGTGGGATCGAGGAGGACGGGGATCGGGGAGGACGAGGAGGATCGAGGAGGACGAGGAGGCCCGAGGAGGATCGGGGCTCGAGGAGGCTCGAGGAGGAAGATCCAGGCGGACGAGGATCGAGGAGGATCGAGGAGGACGAGGAGGCCGAGGAGGCTCGAGGAGGCTCGAGGAGGCTCGCGAGAGCAGGCAGGCGGCGCGCGCCGCGGCGGCGGCCAGATGGAGCCGGCGCCACGCGAGAGGCCGGGCGGCGCCAGCCGGCCCCCGCGCGCCGAGGGCGGGGAGGAGGAGGAGGAGGAGGAGGAGGAGGAGGAGGAGGGGGAGGAAGAGGAACAGGTGGAGGTGGAGGTGGAGCAGGAGGAGGAGGAGGGGGGAGCGGGGGGGGGGCGCGCGGGGCGGAGGCCGGCGGCGCGGGGAGGCCTCCGATGTTTGTTTTGGTTGATGCTCTGTTGTCTGTTGTCTGTTGTTGTTGTTGTTGTTGTTGTTGTTGTTGTTGTTGTTGTTGTCTGTTGTCTGTTGTCTGTTGTCTGTTGTCTGTTGTCTGTTGTCTGTTGTCTGTTGTCTGTTGTCTGTTGTCTGTTGTTGTTGTTGTTGAACATTATTTCTTCTTAAGAATAATTATTGTTGGGACCCCTGGTGCACGGCCCCCCCGCCGCGCCTAGGCCGCAGCTACATTTTCATCATTTTCGTGAGGAAGTCTCAGGCAAAACGATTGTGTCCGGATCCGGTTGTTTTGTTCCCCCCCCGTTTTCCCTTGCAAAAAACACTATAAAATGAAAATTCTTGTTCTTACTTGATCAAATTGCAAGAATCCCTTGCAAAAAATAAGGTAAAGTGGACATTCGTGCGCGCAAGACGAAATCCTTCCAAAACCTTAGGTTTCGTAACGATTTTAACATAAAAACATCAAAAACCCAATGGTTTTTTAAGAAAAAATTGTCAAAATGTCCTTCCGCGCGCGCTGTCCGAATCCCACAAAACCAATGGTTTTTCAACATTTATGTTACATGAGCTCGCGCGAGCTACTTTTTCTTGTTCTAACATAATCAAATTTCAATAATCCCTTGCAAAAAATAAGGTAAAGTGGACATTCGCGCGCGCAAGACGAAATCCTTCCAGAACCTTAGGTTTCGTAACGATTTCAACATAAAAACATCAAAAACCCAATGGTTTTTCAAAAAAAAATGTCCAAATTTCATCCCGCGCGCGCTGTCCGACTCCCACAAAACCAATGGTTTTTCAACATTTATGTTACATAAGCTCGCGCGAGCTACTTTTTCTTGTTCTTACATAATCAAATTTCAACATCCCTTGCAAAAAAAAGTAAAGTGGACATTCGCGCGCGCAAGACCAACAAAAAACACGACGATCTCAGGAACTTGCCCCAAAAATGTGACCAACTCCGCTCTCTCTGTCTCTCTCTCTGTCTGCTCTCTGTCTCTCTCTCTGTCTGTCTGTGTCATGTATTGTATGTCACAATTGCAGGATGCTGGGCACACGCGCGCCCCGAATAAGTGACCAAGTTCTGTGGGTGTGTACCCCACGCCAGTGTAGTAGCCACGGTCGTCCGCACGCCACGAAGTGAAGTGTCCCAACGTCATAGGGCGGGAAGCTGGGTTTGGGTGGTCGCGAAGAGTCGTTTGGATATTTGGTAGAGCTTGAACTGCCCCCCCACGAAGTGGGGGTATTGTCTCGCGTCGCATGAAAACCCTGGCACTGGTGAGAACACTGAGCGTTCGGGTAAAATGATTGTTGTTGTTGTTGTTGTTGTTGTTGTTGTTGTTGTTGTTTATTGTGTTCGTGTTCCGTGCTTTTGCTCCTGCATGTGAATGTTTCTTACCGTTGCTCCTATGTTCTCATGTTTCGGATGCTTTTTTCGTAGACTGCGCACGGCGGACAGTGACACCGTCGGCCGCGGAGAACTGTCCTGCAAAAGCCTGGCACTCTCGAAGCAGGTGCGTGCGCCAATAACAGGGAGACTCCTAAAAATCAGCTCGATACAATCTCCCAGATGGCTCTCGAGGACTGACGGGCCTCCTCTGGGGTCGGCGGCCAGAGGCGGCAGCCTTGAAGATTGGACGCGAGCGCCCACCGCATTGAAATCCCACGAAAGCCGGTCTGGTACGGGCCCGTCAGCAACACCGCCCGCACATCCGAGCTCTGGCGAACACGAGTCTCACGTTTCCCCGAGCCCGAGCCCATGCTCGTCCATGCTAGAGGAACAACAAATGACATAAACAAAAAAAACTCTGAGGTCCGCGCGGATTTCTGGGATCGGCGCTGGGGCCCCCCAGCGGCGTCTCCGGCGCCGCTGGCGCGCTCCGCGCGCCAGGGAGAGGGGTCCAGCGCCGATCCGAGAAATCCGCGCGGACCTCCGAATTTTTACGTTTACGTCATTTTTTGTTCCCCTACTTGAGGCCAGCGGGGCACGGAAAACGCAGGGCGGCGGCGGCGGTGGCGGCGCGCGCGGTGGGGCTCTCCGATGTCGCTCAAGTGAAGCAAGGCGTTCGACGCCAGCTGCACCTGACCAGCCAGCACCTCCCGGGCGGCGGACGAGGGAATCGATGGGGGGGAGGGGGATACGGTCGGGCAGTGACTTCCGCGGCGTAGCCCAGGTTGTCGAGGAAAACGCCCTCGATGGTCGGGGGTTGCCAAAGGTGTCCCTGGCCCACGGTGCCCCCAGCTTTTCGCGCCGTTTTGGAGCCCCGGGGGCCCTCCGGGCCTCGTGACGGGTGCTCTGGAGGCCGTCGGGGGCCTCCTTGGGAATCCTGGGGGCACCCTGGGCCAGGGGCTCTTCTAGCAATACCCGAGATGAGGAGTTTGTACACTCGGATTTGGCACAGAAACACATCCTTCAATAACATGAGACCCTCCGCCAACCAGAACAAACAGAACATTCAAGGGTGCCCTCCCCCAGGATGCACAATAACATCCAACAAGCACGACAAACACTAGGGTACCCTCCCCGAACCGACCTCGATCTTATACCTCAGTCCGACAGTAGAAAAGATCGATAAGTCAGAGAGGGCAGAAATAACGGCAATGTAGACAAGACGGCCCCACGTGCTCCCAAGATGGCCTAAGGGAGCACCAAGAGGGCCCTAACAGGGGCCCAGAAGGGGGAGTACGGCTTGATATTTCGAGGCTTTCTCAATCGAATCCCAGAGGCCACCGAGGTGCTCCCAAGAGGCCTCCACGAGGCTCCCAAAGAGCCTCAGATGGGCCAGGATGAAGCCTCGAAAGGCCCTCCAGATGCCCTCAAGAGCTCTGCAAGAGGCCCTACCTGTGGGGTCGGCATGACGGCGTAAGCCACCTAAATAACGACAACATAAAGGACATGTATACATATGTTAGATGCGGCATGCATTCAGCTTTGCGAAGATCGTTGCGATTCCCGGTTATCAAGTCCACTAACTGCAGTCTGAGCGGACATGGCAGCGGCTAGATGAGCAAAGGGTACAACAGCAGAGGAAATAGGATAACTACAGCACTTCGAGTTCGCGGGGGCGGGAACGACAAGCGACAGCATGGCGTCGCCTCCTGACACAACCTGGTGTGGTAGTGCTGCGTTTGACTGGCTGCCACGGCCATAGGATCTGCTCAGCTTCGAGACTGCCTGGGCCACGAACGGCTCACACCACCACGCGCAATAGAGACACGTGCATGCACTTGAGATGTGCGCCTGGCCATGGCCACAAACGACACGACACTGTCCTTGAGCCACGGGCCACGGAAAACGAGCGACATGCCACGGGCGAAGACATCCCCTTCGGAGAGACTGCTCCAAATGAGCACGTGAGCGCCCCTTCCCCCACGGGGTCGGCCCCTCACCAGGGTAATGACCACCGAGACCATCCCTGTCACAGTATAATCGCGAAATACATATTGCGACCAACCCTGAATCATGCTCGGGCGCCCAAAAACCCGCCGATCCGGTGTGTGAGTTCTCCTAGAGAGTCTCAGAGAGCAGGGGGAGGAGGAGGAGGAGGAGGAGGAGGAGGAGGAGGAGGAGGAGGAGGAGGAGGAGGAGGAGGAGGAGGAGGAGGAGGAGGAGGAGTTGGGAGGAGGAGAAGGAGGAGTTTGGAGCAGGAGGAAAAGTTTGGAGGAGGAGGAGCGGAGGAGGAGGAGGAGCAGGAGGAGGAGGAGCAGGAGGAGCAGGAGGAGGAGCAGAGGGAGGAGCAGGAGGAGGAGCAGGAGGAGGAGCAGGAGGAGGAGGAGGAGGAGGAGGAGGAGGAGGAGGAGGAGTTTGGAGGAACCTTAGCGATCCAGAGCGAACCTTTTGCTCGACCCGGGGGGGCGGGCGCCTGGGCGGCTCTGCCGGGGCAGGGAGCGGGGGGGCAGGCCTGGACCCGCTTTGCCCCCGCGCCGCTGCCGAGTGCTGCTCGCCCCCCCGGCAGCCGCCTCGGCGGCCGCCCCCCCGCTGTGCCGGTTCGCGCGGCGATCCTGCACAACAGGGGAAGTCAGTGGACCCCGCCCATTGGCTACACGCAAGAGTGACCCTGGGTACGAGTGACCGTCGGTGCGCGGCTCTTTGGGGGCCGCGGGGGGAGGCCAAACCTGGGCGCGCAAGCCCCTGCTGCCGCTTCGATTTCAGCCATCCGAGGGCCCATCTGTGCCCGCACCAAAGGTCACTCCGGCGAAAGGTCACTCTTACGTCTTTTCGAGCCCAGGCGAAAGCCAAACCACCCTGCGCAGCAGGCCGATCCATCCAGAAGTGGACCAAAGCAGTCCTGCACCTCCCTGCCAGAACAAAAGACAAGGCACGGCCGAAATCCAGCAGACAGCGTTCAGGTCCAGCCCAGGTGGGGGGAGGGGCGTCCCGGGAATCCCCGGGCCCTAATTAGGAAAGAGGGGTGGGGGAGAGCCGAGCATTTCGATCTGCAGAGGGTGTTCAAAGCACGTGCGCTCGAGCCCTGCTGACTGGAGTGGAAAAATAGCAGAGGAAAAGTGCAGCTGTCAGACGTCCGATCTGTCACCTCGTCTGTTGCTCATCGAAGGGGTGGGGGGGAGGTTTCCCCGAATCGCCCAGGCCCTCTCAGGAGAGGCCCAGGCCCTCTTGGGCCCTCCACAGTCGCGGAACGATCGGGCGAAGACGCCCAAGACAACCTCCGGTCGGCCGGAAAAGCGCCCAAACACGTCCAAAGAGGCCTCCAAGAGCACCCCCCAAGAAGGCCCAACTCGTCAGAATCTTTTCAAACAAACAGAATTGACAGTATACAGTGCTGTAAAGGTATGCGCTACATATTAGACATAGACATGCATGAACTTCCATATATATATATATATATATATATATATGTATGCACATGCGTACATACACATACATACATGCACACATGCACACATACACACATACATACATACATGCATACATACATACATGCATGCATGCATGCATGCATACATACATACATTCATTCATACATACATACATACAGACATACGTACGTACGTACGTACATACATACATACATAAATATGTACGTGCGTGCGTGCGTACGTACACACATATCTTTATATGTGAGAGAGCGTGATACACCGCCGCTTTACTGTGGAAAATTGCCAACCTTTTCCTCCGGAACCCGGGGTCGCCCCCCCCCCCTCACCCGGCAAAACCCCCCCCCCCCCCCCCCCCCCCCCCCCCCTTCCCCCTCGAAAACCGAGGGGGGGTCACTACCGGTTCGAACCCCCCCCCCTCGAAAATCAGGGGGGGGGTCACTACCGGCTCGAACCCCCCCCCCCCTCGAAAACCGGAGGGGGGGTCACTACCGGTTCGAACCCCCTCCCCACCCCCCCCACTCACCGCCAGCAAACGACTCCCGGTCCCTACCACCTTCCGCATCACATCCCCCACTGTGGTTCCCAGCACCACTGTCCTCACCACCACTGTCCCCACTGGTTCCACCATCGTCCCTACTGTCCCCACTAGTGCCCCCACCACTGTCGCACTGTCCCCACTGTCCCCACCACTGTTCCCACCACGGTTACCCCACTGTCTCCACGGCCCCAACCACTGCCCGACCATCCCCACTGTCCCCACTGTCCCACTGACTCCTCCGCTGTCCCACTGAGCTGTCCCACTGTTCCCACCACTGTCCCCACTGTCCCCCACCACTGTCCCCACTGTACCTCTGTCCCATTGTCCCACCGCCGTCCTCGCCACCGCCTTCACCACTGCCCCCACCACCATTGTACCCTCCACTGTCCCCACCACCGTTCCCACCACTGTCCACTGTCCCCACTGTTCCCACCATTGTCCCCACCACTGTCCCCACCACTACCGTCCCCACCACTGTCCCACTGTCCCACTGTCCCCACCACTGTCCCGCTGTCCCCTCACCACTGTCCCCACCACCACCGTCCCCACCACTGTCCGCACCCCCACTCGGTTTTCGAGGGGGGGGGGTTCGAACCGGTAGTGACCCCCCCTCCGGTTTTCGAGGGGGGGGGGGGGATGGGGTTCGAACCGGTAGTGACCCCCCCCGGTTTTCTGGAGGGGGGGGGGGGTTCGAACCGGTAGTGACCCCCCCGGTTTTCCGCCAGCAGCGATAGAACACGCTCTTTCTAGTATATAAATATATAGATATCGCTTCTCGGCCTTCACTGCGACTCCAAGACGGCCCAAGGGGCCCCCAACACCGCCCCAAGACGGCCCGAGAGGCCCCCCAGAGGCCCCCAACACGGCCCAAAAGGACCCCAAGACGAGCCCAAGACGGCCCAAGAGAGCCCCCAGACGGCCCCAAGAGGGGTGGCGGGATGTGCCGACCACTATTAGACCTGGGCTGCCACGGAAACGGACAGAGCGCCTCAGGAACTTGCCCGAGAGGGCTCATGGCACCCTTCGCTCTTGGGAACCTTGGTGTGAAGAGATTGTTACGTCGCGGCTCTCCGTTGGGTGCCCATGTGTTCAGAGACTCTTGCGTTGCCGCTCGCTCTTGGGAGGCTTGGTGTGCCGAGCTTTGTACGTCACCGCGCTCTGGGGAGCCGTGTCAAGAGCTTGTTACGTCACCGCTCGCTGATGGGAACCATGGTGTTCTTGAGCGTCTCTTGGGCCTCTTGGGGATCTTCTGGGGGCCCGTGTGGAGAACCGCTTTGGGGCAATTTTGCGCCGTCTTGGAAGCTTTTGGCCGTCTTGAGGCTCTCTTGGGGGCCTCTTCGGGCCCTTTTGGGAGCCTCTTTGGGCCCTCTTTGGCTCTCTTGGGGCTTTCTTGGGGCCGTCTTGGGGCCCTCTTGGGCCGTCTAAGGGCCCTCTTGGGCCGTTTTGGGCCCCTCTTGGGGCGTCTGGGGGCCCTCTTCGACCGTTTTGGGCCCATTAGAGGGCCTCTGGGGCAGATCTTTGGGGCCTCTTGGGCCCTCTGGCGCTCCTGGACACGAAACAGGCGAGAACCCGAAAGAATCCTCAGGGAAATCCATGTGTTTGGCCTCCTTTGGCTCTCTCACAGGCCCTCTGGAGAGCCTCTGGAGCCGTCTGGAGGCTCCCTTGGACCGTCTGGAGGCCATCCGAATCTCTCTTGGGGCCGTCTTTGGGAAATTTTGGT